ATATGCACCTTGCAAATTCGCATCAGAAGGTAACGATCTAAATTCCCCATCAGATCAACAACTGACAAATCTCTCAACAGACACACACCGGGCCCTCCCAACGAACAAAAGATACAGTAAGAAGAGAAAAACATACAAGCTCGCATAACTAGTACCATCACCATTATCTACTACACTAGGCCAACTGGCCGATCCGCAATTCCCTTGATTTACGCATAATGCAAAGCTTGGATTCTCGACGGGAGAATCAGATTTCCTGAGTCTGTTCAGTTGAAGAATTCACATGTTGTTGGTTGGTAAAGAAAGAAGAAAGACTCACCATGTTGCCATTAAAGATTGACCAGGTATTAACGACGCGCCAGGCGTAGGTGTTATCCATTCGATATTGGGGGTATTGGGATCAGAATTGGTATCGGATGCGTCCTGCGCACGAGATAATGCTACTACTAAAGCCAATAACAAGAAATTAAACATCGTGAGAGGTACCGGACCCAACTCGGTATGAAAATCAACAGAACGCACAGCGCCAACGTAACAGGTGAGTAGAGGTCAAGGTAAGAATAGACGAGAATACACCAAGGTCAGTACAGCTTAGAGCTTAGAAAAGACCGACTACCCAGTACTGAAACATGACACATGTCTCGGTCGGAATCCAGATCCTTATCTCATACTTACACAATGCATCAAGCCACAGCCTCTTGTCTCTTAGCTTGAACTGCTGATTCAACCTCAGGTACGTGTCCGTCTACTTCATGATCCTCAAAGCTGCGCTGTCCTCTAAGACCCCATCGTCCAAGCATCGACTTGTCCTCATCCCAACCAGAACACGGCGTGGTCAACATGGTTTCTCCGGTAAAGATTGCATTTGCTCCCGCCATGAATGCCTACTATCAGCCGAGTCTTTCAAAGGTCTCACCATTGCCTGTTCTGTCTCGGAGAATGTATGTCGGCCAGCCGCCAGTCTGATGATGGTTTTAGGCAGGACAATGCGCGCAGTTGCGACGGTTCGCAGGACTGTGTGGACTCCGACGGGCTTTCACTCAGCGTTGCAAATTCAGACACTCACTTTGTTGTCCTCGAGCGGTGTACCGGGAATGGGAACGAGCGTGTTGACCGGGAAGGATTCCGGGTGCTCAGTGAGTCTGTTGTAAGCAAGCCACGCTCCAGGATATGACCCACCTTGAAACCTCGTGGATCAGTCCGACTCGGTCCTCGTCCTGCTCGCCTAAGCCCAAGATACCACCCGAGCACACAGAGATACCTGCAGCTCGGACGGCCTCGATTGTCGAGATACGTTCGTCGTATGATCGTGTAGTGATGACCTCGGGATAGAACTCTCTGGAAGTATCCAGGTTGTGGTTGTATGCGCTCAAACCGGCCTCTTTCAATCGCCTCGCCTGGTCGGGTGACAACATTCCCAGCGTCGTGCACACTATCATCAGCACGCTCAGACAATCGACCGGCTCACCCTCCATGCCCATCCCTCGGACCTCGCTAACCATCTTCAATATCTTCTCGAACCCACTCTTCTTCCCTGCCAAATCTCTCCACGCAGCACCCATGCAGAACCTCGTCGAGCCATTAGCTTTTGCCGTTCGCGCAGCCTCAAGCACTGGCTCAATATCGACAAGCCGTGAAGCTTTGGTCGAGGTCTTGTACGAGGAGGATTGAGAGCAGTACTTGCAATCTTCTGTACATCCACCGGCTGTTTGTCAGCTCGATAGAAAACAAGTAAGCTTACTCTTTATGTTCATCAATGTGCATAGCTGAACACGGGAAGGGTCATGGTGCATTCTGTGCACGTTCGCCTGACATCAGCAGTAGTCAAAATGAAACTCACGGCTCGGAAGATGGTGTCCAATAAAGGAGCATCGAAGATCTTCTGAATCTCGGATCGGCGCCAGTTCGTCCGAACATCCCCATCACGGAAGGTAGGGCGAGCTACAACAGGAGCTTCCGCAACTGTCGCAAGGCTTCGTGAGAGGGGAAGAAGGTTACGTGAAGCACGAGCAGCCATGTCGCACGGAGCCAGGTGAGGAAGGAAGACTGTGAAATGAAAAGAAGAAGAAGAAGATAGGCTGCCAAGAGGAAGGAAAGAGGAAGATTGGGGATCAAACGGAAAACGCCCGTACGTTAATAACCCGTAAACGCCTGAAATATAATTGGTCCCCTCTTTCGCACCGGTTCCCTTCGTTCGCACCGGCTTCCCCTCTCTCGCACCGGTTCCGCCTTATACCGTGAATCATGCTGGACCGTCTTGACGTGACGGACAACGTACTAAAGTCGCGTGGGTGTACTACTATGGTGTGATTGCTACGGGAGATCTGCACATTGCTCTGATATCGCGAACATGATCTTGTGTATTGCATCAATCTTCTACAGTATATAACCTGTGGGCGCTTCGAAGAATTGAATTCCTGACGCGAAACTGCCCGCGTATATCAATGGCTAGATTCTTCGACTTTTAACTTTGTCCCTTCGAGGGATATTAGGGATCGAAAGGTTGCGGGTTCGAGTCCCGCCGCAGGCTACATTTTTGCCTTTCCTTTTTTTCTTCGTTTGTCTTCGGGGATCTTGCAAACTTTATGCATGAGTATGGACCATATGGCATGTAAGCATGCATGTGGAGAAGGATCGACTCTTCCATTGCTAAGCTGTCTGAAAGGGTTTTCAGTGGGTTGTGACTAGTCGACTTGTACCCCCGGCGCGACGATCAGACGTACGTGGCCTTTCGACGTCACGGGGTGCACTCAGATAAGCAAAATTATCACAGATAACAAAACCGCACCACACACCGCATTGGCCCACATCATCGTCCCTCGTTGTACTGCCAACAAATTAATCGAGTGCATCCACTTTCTCACCTGCCGGTACCAGGCCGCATATAGCATCATCGGCTCAGTACGCGTCTACATAATCGAAAAAAAGTAATACAGCCAAGTATAAACATCTACTCCGAGACTGAAACTATACGCCACCGGGGACCGACACGTTTGTCACCTTTTCTCCAACGTACGTTTCGTCAACAACACATAGATTTTGGCTCGTCTTGAAACCAATAATACTTTCCACAAAACGACACTACTATCCTTCATTCCCAACATCATTCATCCGATGGCGCGACCGCCAGATCCGAAATAATTCTTTCGAAGCGTGGCGGTGGTTCGACCCCATCCTTTTAGACCCGACTCAACTCGCATTCTGCCTTGTGTACCTTGATTTTCTTTTTCCTTTGACCACCACCCAAACATATAATCTCCTCATCCCTAGTCCTGTCCGCGTTCGCAAATCCCTTATTCAACGTCCGCATTGTACGTCGAATCGCGTTGAAAGGAGATCGCATGATCATCGCTCTCCTGCGCACGTTTGTTTTCTCCCCCGTAGTGTTATAATATAGACCCGACTTCGCTCTTGTATCGATAGTCTTACCACAACACGTTCCCCAACATGTCCGCATCCAACCTCCATACTCCAGCCCTTTCAGCGAGCAACACTGCCGATCCCTCTCCCGAATCATTCACCGTCGTCTCCCCCGCCGCATCTGAGCTCGAGCTCGAGCCCACGTTCCCCAACGATGCCCAGTTCAAAGTCATCCCCCGTATTCCTGAATGCTGGGGACACCGAGGAGTGAGTCATCCCCCAAAGACATTGCTGATAGGCGCCAGGCATCTGCCAGTTATCGTGAGTGTACTTGATCTTCTTCACTAATTAAACAGCCGAGAACACTCGGGCTTCATTCATCGAGGCTTGCAATGCTGGTGCGGACGGCATAGAGACTGGTGAGTTTTGATTGATGATCATCGCTGACTGCAGACATCCACATAACTTCTGACAATGTCTTGGTCATGTTTCACGATCCAAACCTTGAACGCACAACCAACGGCAAGGGCAAGATCGACCACCAGCCGTGGAACGGCGTCCTTGAGTGAGTGTCTTTTAGGACTTGGCTTACGCAGGCACGTTCGGACGCTTGAAGAACCTCATCAGCCGATCCCTCGCTTCACTGAAGTGCTGGACATCCTGATGATGCCAGAGAACAAGAATGTCAAGCTCAACGTAAGTTGACTGTCTATCAAAGCTCACGCGTAGCTCGATTGCAAAGTTGAGAACCCTCCGGCCAAGCTCTTCACCCTTGTCAAGCGAGCAATCGAGACGTACCCCGGATGGCAGTCTCGTCTCGCCCCAAGGATCATTCTGGGAATCTGGCATGTAAGTCGCCTTTTTTTTCGATGCGCTGACGCAAAGCCCAAATTCCTCGCACCGGCACAAGAAATCCTGCCATATCTTCCCCGTTTTGCCATTTCCATGTCACTTGAAGAAACCCGCAAGTACTTCTGGAAACACGTCCACGGCTTCTCCATCCTCTTCCAGGCGCTCGCGTCGCCTGAAGGTGCACGTTTCCGGGACGAATGCCGCGCAGCCCATAAAGACCTCTGCTCATGGACTGTGAATGGACGAGAAGAGATGCTCGACTGTGTTCGATGGGGTATCCGATGCATTATCAGCGACAAACCGGAACAGTGGCGAGAGATTCGAAGACAGATTCTGAAAGATCCAGAGGTACTCAAGCCAAGCATCGCCACGCACGTTCTCCCGTGGTTGTCCAAGAAATACTATCGCTTCGACTACGTGAGTCTCATGTACAAGGTCATTGCTGATTGAAACAGGAACGTCTGGCTTCGGAAGAGACAGAATACCTCGAGCGAGAAGGAGGCAGGTTTGCAGATGTGGTCGTGCCAGAGATTGAGATGCGCATCGCCAAGCCTGGTGATGCTTTGTAGCATTGTTCTCCGTTCATAGATGTGAATGTTACGATTCTTACGATAACTCTCCTGGCATCTTCCAGCCACTGCATCTAAGAGTGGAACTGCGTCGCCAAGAGCGACCTACTTTCTGTAGCCGGTTCAGCACATAAAAAGTTTGCGCCAACGCTGTAGTGGAAATTCTGTTTTTCCTGTATATATATGCACATAGAATCAGACATACATCAAATAATAAGAGCCCGACTGGCCCAATCGGCTAAGGCACCCGACTCTTATGTAAGCAGCAAACGCGCTTCGTAAATCGGGCGATTCTGGGTTCGAGTCCCAGGCCGGGCTTTCCTTTTTTGATCTTGGTAATCCCTACTATATCTTTTTGGATTTCTATCTGAGTCAGTGGGCGAGAGAACCTGTGATCATGCAGGTATTGGTCCAAGATTCTGTACATTATATATTTCGCTGCTACACATTCTTTTTATAATAAAACATTCTACGTCGATGTCGCAGCCGGTCATAGATCTACAGAGTCGTTTGATGAAGATGGCCATCTTATGCGTTTTCATCCATCTGTTTGTTCCCATCTCCACTGCCTTCGCCCTCGCCCTCCTCCTCCTCCGCAGAATCAATGATCACGGTGGTCGCCCTATTCTTCCTCTTCCTCAATGATCTTCCCAACAACCTCAGGCGTGTTGATGGGAATCGTAAAGATCGCTGTTGAATTGATCGCCTTCTCCGTCTTGCCGTCATGGTTTCTGCAAGTGCAGCATCGTATGCTTTGAATCAATCAACAGTCAGTGCTGTTTGATATATATAGTATGGACAGGATCGTTTGGACTTACAGGAATGTAATACCGCTGCTCTCTCTGGTATGTTATGAGTTTTTGCGCGTTTGATCCTCCATGTCAATGGATCATCCCAGTCCAAAACTTTCCCATTGTTCTCATACGCGTGCCATAATCCTTCTTCTAAGACCTCATCATAGATGTCATCAACGTCATCCAGCATTTTATCCAATTTCTGATCTTCTTCATCCGTCAAATCAGATTCTTCTTTTTGTTCATCGTCCGTCGAAATCATCGAGTCTTCCCCTTGTTCATGTCCAGATGATCGGTTGATTTCAGGTGAGAAAACAGTGACTGGAGAGATATTGATATGATCTTGTGTGATTTCGTCCATAGATTGAGATTCGGCTATAATTATTGCTCGGTAGATGTTTCGATGTAGAAATGTGACGAGTTCTTCGTATATGTATTCGAGGAGTGAAAATGATATAGGAGATCTATTTATTGTAAGTTAAAACACGATAGTGGGGATTGAAAGTCAAGACTTACTGGAAGTATGTAAAGTTGAACATATCCCATCCTTGTTCCATTACACGTTTTTCAATATCATCATCATGTTCACTCTTAACTCTTCTTTCGACGTCCTCATTATCCACCTCAGGTTGCTCAGTACCTCTGACTATTTCGTCGTTCTTCTCAGGAGTCCCGGACCCTTGCCCATCCTTTTCGAAAAATACATCAGGACCTCCAGCAGCGTCGATATCTTGCTGCGACATGACCTTGAGTAATTGTTTAAGTCTATATCTCTGTCGATTCCTTCTTCGATTCACAAGAACAGCCAAAGCGGCTTTTTCTTCTGCGTCAAGAGTAGGTTTCGATTCCAGTCGTTTCAGATCGAGATTATCGCGTGCTATTCTTGCTTTTTTTGACCCTCCTCCTCCTCCTTTTCCTCCTCCGGCTGCAGCTTGTGGTCTTGCAGAACTTAATCGTCTCGCATACCATTCAGCATGTGGTGGAAAAGTTTGAGCGAGGCGTTCAAGTTGATCCATATCGATATCCACCTTTTCTTCCTTTTTCACCAAATCTGATAATTCTTCTTCTTTTGCTATCCAATCTTCACTTACTTGTCTAGCAGCAGGAGCAGTGCCCATTCTCCATCTATGACTTTTTTCCCATCTTTTAACTCTTAATCGAGTTTGAGATTGTTCTGCTCCATCTTCAAGTAGATCGAGATACCATTCTACCTCTGATTCTGATTTCCCACAATCTCGTGCGATAAGATCAGGAAATAGTCGTGAATGTCTCGATAGAGCGGCGAAAAACGCGCATTTCTCTGTAATGCTCCATTCGGTCTCGGTAGGTCCCACTTGGCTCGCGTGGAGGATCACAGTAGGGTGGTATTCAGAATCGTGAGGGTATCCGAGTAGGTCACGGTGCGAAGAACGAATGTGTTTGTCGAGATAACTCAGGTACCACTCGTTTTGTTTCTGTTTCTGTCTCTTGGACGAGCTAGGACCAGCTTCTGTCATGGCATGATCATGATTGATTTTTCAACAGAGTGGACGCGACGAAATATGAAATCAATTGTATGACGTGTTATTCTACTTCCGTGCTTATCATTTCAATGTATGCATTGCCATACTACAAAGCGTCTTCATGCACACGATACTTTTGTAATAGTAGTATCACGGCCTTTGTAGAATAGTAGATTATGAGCAGACAGCTACAGTTGTTAAAGGGGGCGGGTATCGCTGGCAAGTTGTATACTGATACTGACGGCCGGCTTGCTGAAATATCGAGTGGCGAAAATCAGTCCGAGACATATGTATGGCGAGGCTTCGCACAGATGTTCTAGCCGAGGCAGGTGTGCATGTTATTGGACGTGAGACTCGTTCGTCGTGAGACGATGAAGAGATGCTACTTATTTAATAGCTTCTTGGAAATGAAGAGAATGAGTATCTCAATGTCCATTTAGACACACTCCTCCAGTTCTTCAAATTACGACTAACGACCTTACGCCTCGACGACTTTGACGATCTAACGACCTAATAATCCACATCCACGCCCACTCGGCATACCATCATCCTCAACTTGATCCTCCGTAGATCCACAGCTCAACCACCTTCGTCATTCAACGACCCCTACATTTTACGTCTCTTACAGATACGACGCTTCGTTGTAACCCCAAAACCAAAATGAGACTCTCATTCATCCTCCTCTCAATCTTTCAACTCTTCCTCGTTACTGTATCCGTGGCTGGCCAATCTATACACCCCTCACACACAATGGGACGTCGAACACCTCACCCTCTCCCCACCTCGATCGACCAAGTCACCGACCCTGAACTCCTTGCAGCTCTCGAAGCACATCAATCCCGATCTCGTCGTCGTAAGATCCACGGTATGGGCCACGAAGCCGATGAACTTCCCATAACCAATGCCGAGAGACTTCGAATTGGTCTTCCTCTTAAACCACCCAAGAAAGACCCACGACATATCGCCGTACCGGGCGACTCTCTAGAGGCTTTCAGTGATTTCTAGTCGTACCCTTGGTCGCACGGACGATTATTGGTTTTCTGTACATAGAATTTGATTCCGTCATGACGCGCACTTTTCGATTAGATGTAGTTTTGAAATTCACTCTATTTATCATCCATGCAACATCCATGCTTAACTCTGCTCGTAGCCAAGTGCGCCAATATGCCGCTTCTGCTTCTGCTTCTGCACCAAAGAGACAGCGGAGGTGGGTACGGCGGTCGGTCGTATCGGTTGGATTGGTGGGGGGATTATATCTCGCCGATCGAGAGTTGAACGCTAGTGCCCTCACACGAAGTTTACGGACGGGCTGGATAGGGTGAGTTGATCAGTCACGAATATAGCTTACGATAGTCTCATATGTACTATAGATTGTAAGGTCATCGTGTCTGGAATAACGCTCATTAATCAGATAAGATCAACTTTATTCCTTCTAAAGCGGACAAGATCGACGCATTACATGAAAGAGTCGCTAGTCGATTAAAATGGGTCATTGATACCAACCAGGGATTATACCTGAAGCTTGGTCAAGCATTGGGATTACAAGCGGCATTACTACCAAAACCATATCGCGAGGCGTTCGGACATGTGTTTGACAGAGCGCCGTCGGTGGATTATACAGAGGTCCAAGGAGTGAGTTTTGATCTCCGATCATCTGGCTGACGACCAGGTGTTCCGAAAAGACTTAGGTGTAGACCCAGAAGAGATTTTCGAAACGTTTTCTCATTCACCTCTCGCCTCTGCATCGATAGCACAGGTGCACAAGGCTACGTTGAAGGATGGAAGTGTCGTTGCTGTTAAAGTGCAGAAACCCGCCATCGAGAAACAGATGGAGCTGGATCTATTTTCGTATAGGTGAGCCTGTCCGACGCTAACAGTTCCGCCTAAGCTGACGTCGGATGTTAGATCACTCATGTGGTTGTGCGAAAAGCTCTTCGATATGCCCATGTACTTTGTGTAAGTTTCCTTGATATTCCCTGAAGCTAACAGAAAGGGCCAAATACGTTTCGACACAAATGCGATACGAGACATCGTTCCTAAATGAAGCATCCAACGCTCGAAGATGTGCCGAATTGCTCGCTCAAACTCCAGAGCTCCGAGATGACGTCTACGTCCCACGCGTGTTCGGTGCACCCGAAGGATGTAAAGAAAGCGATCGAATCATGATTATGGAATGGGTAGATGGATGTAGATTGAACGATCGACAAGCTATCGAAGGCATGGGATTGAACTTGAAAGAAGTCATGGACATAGCAATATCTACCATGTCCGCTATGACTTTCTCGTGGGGTTTCGTACATTGTGATCCTCATCCTGGAAATATTCTAGTAAGGAAACATCCAACCAAAAAAGGTAAACCTCAAATCGTAAGTATCTCTCTCTCTCTCTCCCTTCTATCTCCATCTTCACTAAGTGTCACTCCCTATATTATATTACTACATTTACATAGTTTATCTGACTATCATCAATCAGATTATAATCGATCATGGACTGTATATCAGCCTCCCAACACAATTTAGAGAAGAATATTGTAATCTATGGCGAAGCCTTTTCGTACTCGATGTCCCTCAAATCGAACGTATAGCTTTGAAATGGGGTATAGCTCTAGACGCCAATATGTTTGCATCAGCAATTTTACTTCGACCTTTTCAAGTAGACAAATATAAACGTAAACAAAAGAACAAGAACGATCCGGAGCCTGAAAAAAGCCAATACGAACAACAAGTAGAACTCAAACAGAGGCTCAAGACCATACTGGAAAATGAACAACTCATACCTAGAGTGAGTCTTCCTCCTCCTTTTCCCCGTCCGCCTCTTCTTCCTTTACCTCAAGGAAAAAAAACCAACCTTACACATCCATATACACTATAATCTAAAGTCAAAATTACAGCATATGCTGATTTCTCGTAGGAACTCATCTTTCTTGCTAGATGTCAAAGGATGATGCAAGCGAATAATCAAATGCTTGGTTCTCCATCGTCTAGAGTGAACCTCACTGCGAAATGGGCCGCAAAAGGATACG